TGTATCATGACGATGCCTTTTAGACAAATGGTGAGGAATTTTGTAGTTTCCGTTCTGTTTTTTAATGTTGAGTTGCAAATCCATATCGAAGGCTGCAATGTTTAACCCTTTTGAGCCAAGTGCTTCAAGTCCCTACTTTCAGCAATCACGATTTCATTTGCATAACAAAGTTGATTGATGAGTCTTACTCTCATCTTGATACTCTTCATAGAGTCTAGATTCTTGAATAATTTGCTCAGCATACAGGTTAAATAGGGATAAAGAAAGGATGCAAACCTGACATAACCCTTTCCTAATTTGGTAGTGAGAGAAGGAAAGAATATGTAATCATTTCCTCATCTCATACAAGAAAAGTCGACAAGTAGTTGTTGTGTTACATGCCATCGAGTTACAACCAACTCACAGCTGACCTTCCAACAGGTAAATCACATGGGAGGAGACTGCCTATCTTTCTACCTCAGGACAGCTGGATTCAAACCATTATGCCTTTTTGCTAGCAGTGCAACTTTTTGCCAGTATGCCATCAGAGCTCCCTAACATAAGTGTTGTTGTTAGGTGCCATTGAGTCAAGTACGATTCATAGCAATCCTAAGAACAACAGATCTGAGTCCTGTCCTGTGCCATCTTCATCATCTCTGACACACTTGAGTCCATTCCAGCAGCTACTGTGTCAGTCCATCTTGTTAGAGATCTACTCTTTTGTTGACCCTCCACCTTTCCAGGGATGATGTCCCCCCTCAAGGAATATCCTCTTTCAGCAACATGCCCAAAGTATGTCAGATGAAATGTAAGCTTTGCCTCCTCCAAGGAGCATTCTGGCTACACTTTCTCCAAGACATATCCGTTCTTGAGGATTATGGTGTTTGGGGCTGTTCATTGACATAGGATGTGCTGTGGTTCATGAGTGCGGATCAGGAAAGCCGAGAGCCCTGCCCCTGCCTGCTGGGAAGCTTCTTGGATCTTACTGCAACTTGAAAAGCAGCAGCAGACTTGGGTAGGTAGAGTAAATACAAGTTTTGGAAAACTAGTATCTAACACTGTGTGTTTCCCCACACTTAAGGGACTTCTCAGATGAGACAGTGTTACTAACAAAAGTGACTCAAGTATTAAATAATGAATCTCAGCATGTGGAAGATGTACCCACCTCCACTCACTTCTGCAGAGAGGACTCTGACCCCCAATAGCCCCAGAGAACAGAAGTGCCCCATAGGATTTCTATGTCTATGACTCTTTACAGAAGAAAAATGCCTCATTTTTCTCACTCAGAGTGGCTGGAGGGTTTGAATTAGTGCTGAATGCTCTGCCCACAGACCCACCAGGCTCCTCCGAGCAGAACTCAGTGAGCTCTCTCCATTAGTGGTGCAGATGCTGGTTACCAATGCAGAGTGCCAAGATGAAGCAGTGGATTTCAATGTAACAGATTCTTCTCTATTGAAACAACTGTTTATCTGTAAATAGTTTAAGAATCAGTGGAAATGACAGACATATTACTAGTTTCACATACCCTTCCCCTGGCCTCTTTATGATGACATTACCCCATATCCTGTCACAACCAAGTGCACAGTGCTGTCAACACAGTACAGACCTTCTCTGGTATCCTCAGTCTTGGGATTCAGTTGGGTTTTTTTAAGAAAACTGCCTTGATTCTATTAGTAGTTGGAAAAATTAACTGGTACTGAAAAAAGTTTAGTCAGCTGGAGAGAAGAAACTGAGTGCTGGGCAGGGCCTAGTGACTCTTCAGGCAGGAAACCTGGGTCCAGCGAGGAGAAAGGAGCACTGTGAACTAGAGTCAGACTAGCATCTGTGGTTTTAATCTGTACTTTTACTTCTGCTCAATTACCCTTCAAGAAACTGACCTTGTCAAATAGAAAGGAAAAAAAGAATATCCTCAATAATCAGAAAAAGAAGATTAAAAATATCTCCTTCCCAACCACATATCTAATAGGGTTGTGCTTTATCATATCCAACCAAAACACACCAGCAGGCTGAATGTAGCCTCCACTATCTTTGACTAATGCAATGGAGCTCTGAGCCCTGAGTGGTTAAGGAGCTGTGTTGCCAAGCCAAAGGTACGTGGTTTGAACCCACCAGCCACTGTACAGAAAAAAATGAGCAATCTCCACCCATGTGAGCTAAAGCCTATGAAAACCTGCTGGAGTGTCAGCTATGAGTCATTTCTGAGTTGATGGCACGTAACAACAAGGCAGACACTAAAGAGGCTCACAAAAGGATAAGCAATACTGTTGTTATGTGCCGTCGAGTCGCTTGTGACTCATAGTGACCCTATATACAACATCCATAAACTCTGCTGTCCTGTGCCAATTGCACCGTATGTGACACACCAATCCCGATTACCCGAATCACTGAATCAATCCACCTCATAGAGGGCCTTCCCCTTCTGCGCTGTCCCCCCACCCTACCAAGCATGAAGTCCCTCTCCAAAGACCTGTCCTTCCTTGCAACATGTCCAAAGTATGTTAGATGGAGCCTTAGAATCCTTGCCTCCAAGGGGCAGCCCAGTTTGACCGTTTCCAGGATGGATCTGTTTGTTTTCCTAGCAGTCCATGGTACCCTCAATACTCTTCTCCAGCACCACAGCTCAAAGGCATCAATTCTCCTTCTATCCTCC